TAGAATTTCAGAGCAGGTAAGTTAATTTGTTATGGAAGAGAAAACATCTATAGCAATGACAAAAATGTAGGGAGATAGAGGATCTCGTTTCCTGAGTCCCTTTTATACTCTTAAAGAAGCCACGCAGCTCTCCATTAACTGACACAGAGAAAGGAGTCGAGATACAAGTTGTAGTCCATGATATGAAAATGAGAGGGAAGTGCATATGCTCAAAGACATCAAGAAGGAAATTCCAGTTGAGGCTATTAGGTGCTTTATGTATAAATCAACCTTTATGCTCCATTTGGTAGGAAGTGAGAAAGAAGGGTGGAAGGAAGATAAGAAGAAAGAAACAAACTTCTTTCATTTGGTAGAGAGGAAGAAATAAATGACATGACAGGGTCAATAACTTTTTATAAGATAATTTCATGATCCTAGTATTTCTAACGCGGTAATGACGTCTTGAAGTTTTCTTTATTTAATCATTTATCCTCATTTTAAGTGTTTTTCTATTTATGTTTTTTTTTTTTTTTTTTTTTTCATCAATTTTTGAGTTCAACAGGACGTTGGGACCTTTTCCTTGGTCCACTGGGATAGGAGCTTAATGGGCTCTTTTGTACTACCTTTCACTTCTCATCAAAAACTAATTTTCCCAATGGTAAGGCACTCGGAGTACACGTTTCTAGATCTCTAATTCAAGTCACTTCAAAGTTAAGGTCGGAGTTTAAATGATGCATGTGATTTTCAAGCATAAGTGCATTTGGAGTTTGCAAACCATTTGAACTAACATCCAACTTTTCATGGGGCCATTGATTTTTTGAATTTCAAAGATAAATTTCAAAGTTTTATTATTATGAATATCTCAATTAAAAAAATAAAATCAATGAATTACTTGCACTCTAAAATCAATGAATTTCAAAGTTTTATTATTATGAATATCTCAATTAAAAAAAATTAATGAATTGAATGACCAAAGTAAAGCAACTTCTTCACTCTAAAAAAGAGAATTTTTGAAGTTATTTTTTTATGACAAAGCTTTACTAGGAGAAAAAGCAGGACAAGGAGAGTACACGACTGAGGGTGCAGGACTACTAGCATTGTTCCTTGTCGGAGTTCTAGCCGGACTTCTTGATCTTGACATCACGGTGCTCAGGCAATATCCTCTCTCCCCGGACTTCCTTGGCCCTTTTTCGGACCAGTTGAGCTCTTGCTGCTTCACCAAACTTGGGTACCTCATACAACACCCAACCTTTCCTGCTCTCTGTATGTACCTGTTGAAAAGCAAAAAACAGAGAGAAATGAAACACGAAGAATACAAGGATATTACGTGGTTCATCCACTAAAGCCTACATTCACGGCACAAAGAGCCTAAAGGGCTACATCACTTTATAATATATTCTCCATTGATCTTTGTATACAATGATCACCTCTATTTATAGGTGAAAGAATAGAGGTGATAAATATGAAAAATACATTAATGAAAGATTCCTAAAATCTCAAGGAGTAATTTAAGGATTCCTATAATAATATATTCCAAATATAACATCTTCTAACACTCCTCCTCAAGCTGAAGGGTGTATGGAAATAATACTCAGTTTGCATATCAAATCATGAAACAGATCCTTTTCCAACGATTTGGAAAAAGACAATAAAACTGCTAGAGACACGGTGAATGCGAACACACCGGCAAACCAAATAAGTCCACATAGCACCGAACACAAGGCGAAGTCAATAAAAATTGCAAGAGACACGGCTAAGGCGAAAACATTACCGCCGAACAAACCGGCAGCCCAAACAAGGCACAAATAGTACCGAGAAACCCTTAGCAACATTTCAAATGCTAAGGGAATACCCCAAAATAAGGGTCCGAACCTAGGAAGAAAATTAGGCTCTGATACCATATTGAAAAACATAAAACAGAAGTGAAGAGAGAAATGAAACACGAAGAATACAAGGATATTACGTGGTTCAGCCACTAAGGTCTACATCCACGGCACAAAGAGCCCAAAGGACTACATCACTTTATAATATATTCTCTCTTGATCTTTGTATACAATGATCACCTCTATTTATAGGTGAAAGAATAGAGGTGATAAATATGAAAAATACATTAATGAAAGATCCCTAAAATCATAAATCACTTCAATTAATATTCTATCATAGGCTAAAATCTCTCCTATGATATTCTCATATCAAATATTCTGTTAAGGAATAATTTAAGGATTCCTATAATAATATATTCCAAATATAACATCTTCTAACAGTACCTGCAAAAGATTTGTATAAGGTAATAGAGCTACCCTAACAAATGTAAGTTATCTACAAATTTTTGCCTTTTATGTTCTTGGACTATATAAGCATCTAGTTTAATTTGGATTTTCTTTTTTTTTTTTTTTTTTTTTTTTTTTTTTTTTTTTTTTTTTTTTTGTCACTCAAAAAATCATATCTGTTGGTTTGAACTTATCATTAGTTCATACTTCATCTGAGACTCACTTTCTTTTGCTTTCCCTTTCCATCAAATTCGATCAATGAAAATTTGAAGCGAATTAAATTTGGTCATTACCTTTGGCTGAATCTTCTCCCCAAGCAGTCGATACACTTTCTTCCTTCTGTCATCTCACCCATGCCTTTGCTTACACATTGCCTGCAATAGACTCTTCCACAGACCTGCACACATAATTAGTTTTCCAAATTATTACTCCTCTCACCTCTAAACCAGAATGACAATTTAATTATAATAATAAACATTTAAAATGGAACAAACACTATTTATTATTTTACTTTTTCTAAGTATGTATTCGTACTTTTTCCCCTCTAAGAAGCTGAATATCATATTTACAAAAAAAACAAGGGGCTTGCCCAATTCACGAAGACCTTCTAAGTAAATCACAATACAACAATCTTATTGTTGCGTCAAGTGTCGCCTTCAATATTGAGAAACCTGCATATAGCATGTATAAATTGTGACAAAATAAAAAATTGATAGTAGATGTTAATGATTGGTACATACTAGGCATCGACGACGGAAAATATAGATGTAGACACTGCAAATGGTGCAAATATTAGAGTGAGACGTCCCAGGCCGCTGTGTCATTGAAGCCGTGCCCGGGCTGTTCATGACGCTTAGCTCACCACGAGACACACCACTCTCTACTCCATGCTTTAGTCCTGTCATGCCCCGATTTCCATGATGATCAAGATGCGGGCCTTGGGGCCACTGGGAGCCAGGCGCATTGAGGCCGTGGACAGTGTCGTCGACGGTGATGTGGCGGCGGCGGTGGGTGGATTGTTGCAAGGCTGTGTTGAAGTCGAGGGTTAGGAGTTTGGTCAGACTTGACGATATTGAAACATTTTCTGAAATGGGGTTTATTGGGGTACTACAAGGTCTTTTGAGTTCTGATGAGATATTGGCTTGTGCTTCTTCTTCTTGTTGTTTCAAGTCAGCAAAGTCTTGAAAAGTGAGGTTCACTGACTCATCTGGGACTCCTCGGTACAATTCTTCCAGCTCTCTTTTTGCATCTGTCAATCTTGCCAAATGCCCCATTACTAATCCTTAGGTGAGATGTGTGTGTTTCTGTGCGTTTGTGTCTCTGTGTTGTGTGTGTGTTTGTGCATGTGTGTCTCTGTGTTGTGTGTGTTTCTGTGTGTGTGTGATTGTGGAAGAGGAAAAATACTATATAGCAAGAGACTGTGCATGGCCGGTGGTTTTGACATTGTTTATATTTTATTATTAAAATCTGCATCTGAATTTGATTTCAAGTTGGATTGGAACTAAAAACTTCAGATAAATGTTAGCCCTATAAAATTGAATTCATTGTATTGGATTGTCGATTAAATCCTAGATACTTTATGGCTTATCTGTATCTGATATCTTTAAAACAAATGAACTTGTTTTAACTGAAATTTGAAATTTACAATCCAAATCCGGAAATGAATTTCAAATAGAATTCTTGGTCAAAGCTGATCCATGATTTTCTGTATAGTTGTAAATAAATTACATTTGTCATTGTTTTTGTACATGTTATCTTTCCCTAAAAATTATAAAATGATAAGTATCGAATATCAAATGATGGATAATGTGAAATTTATAGGTAGGGAGATCCAACTTTGAATATTTAGGCAGTACAACTTTGAATTGAACAAATGTACCAATGTGTGTGTGTGTGTGTATATATATATATAACAAACAGCTTGATTCAGATTCGGTCCTTTTGGACCCCAGTCGAGAATTGAATTGTAATGAACCATTCTTTAATTTGTAATTTTTAGAATTAAAATCAAACCGTTCGAACAATCTATATTGTTCGACCAGAGGCCCGGTCAAGTTTAGCGATTTTAATTGTTTTTTGTATACTTTTATGTAGCAAAATTAAATTTCAATATGAGTTGTGATACACATTATGAATGCAATTTAAGATCCGTATCTTGAATCCACGAGAAAGTGCCGAAGCAATGATGTGACTTCTTCTTAATTAAAAGGCCCCATATGAAATTGAATAACAAAAAAATCGTAATACAGCTCCTTCTCCACATTCGGTTGACAAAAATGTTTAGAAACAAAAAATTTGGATTTTTTTTTCTTTCTTTTACCTTTTGAAAAAGTCAGATTTAAATTGAATGAAGATAATCCTTATGAAAGAGGGTAAATACAATTTGTGGATTTAGGTCAAAATTTTAATTTTTCCTTTTACCTTTTTTGAAAAAACTATATTTCACAGAACTTATAAGCCAAAAATGGATATAAAGTTTATTGATGACATTCTCATACCTTGGCTGATCATTCATTTCCCTGATAAAATTTTGAATTTTTTTGAGTCAAATATTGGATATGGCTATTTCATAGAGAAGAAAAAGGAAAAATATTGGATCCAATGCATTCATATAGCAACCATATTGGGCCCAAAGTAGTCTATTAGTATTTATCTAATGAGAATAATTTTCAGCAAGCAGCATTGGTCTAGTGGTAGGATAGTATCCTTTCCAGGAACAATCCTTGTTCGATTCCCGACTGGTTCATTTGAGAGCAATGACGAAATATTTGCACTCATTGTGAAGATTGGGTTCCTCACTTACTTCCGATTTCAGAAGAAGAAAACCTGTGCATCAGAGCTCTCTCTTCTTTTTTTTTTTTTATCCCCAAAAAATACCATTTATTATTATATCTTCATTTTTTTTCTCTTTATACCCAAAAAATAGCATATATTATTATTTTTTTTATAATAAATAATATTAATTCTCCGGTGGTCCGGTGCAATCCTTCTCACACTTGTCATCTTGAGATCATTTGAAATATATATATATATACACACACACACGACACATGTATTTGTCTATTCTTTTTTTCTTTTTCTTTTTTTTAATTTTTGCTAAAAATAGTCTTTGATTAATTTTAAAGTTATCTATTTAAAATAAAATTGGCGACCTTTTTTTCCATTTCAATGGTGCATAATCCAAAATTGAAAAAGAAATCCAAATCTCTTTTATATTGTGTTTTCAACGTTGCAAGTGAAAATTAATTCCGAAAATAATTTATAAACAAATTTAGATAACGTTATACGATCTAACATCAATATCATGTAGGAATTGAAATATATATATATATATATGTATGTGGAACATACATTTTAATCACTAAGATATGTGGTAAGTCCGATACACGTGCTCTAAGAAAAAAAAATGATAGTACTTTCAACAAAAAAAAAAAAAAAAACTAGCCTTTAACACTAAGAGCAGAGGAGTTATGCAGCAAGGAGGAGGTAGATTTCAATCTTGAAGAATTCGCCTTGAAGCAGCACAATCATTTAGACATCTTAGTTGAAGAATTAAAGAAATACTGCAATTCATCCTTGCCAATGTAGGTCGTTGTGAAGATTTATTCCCCTTGAAATGCGATCGTTTCTTCCCAAGAATGGTACACCACATAAGAGAGACACACATTTCCAGTACAAGTTGAATGGTGTATTTACCTTCAATCGGATGCTCATCCAAGAAACCAAAGAATCCCAATTCCGGTTGGAGTGTGGAGTCTGCACTTGCAACAACCAGCAAGATCTCTTGTTACTTCGTCTGCTCAGAGGTTATTATTATATTCATATAACTCGAGCCAACCACAATTGTCATGTAGATTAAGACTCCAGAGGGCCCAAAGAAGTATATTAGATATATATAATGAGAATAAATAACAAGCACCTGTGGTCTAGTGGTAGAATAGTACCCTGCCACGGTACAGACCCGGGTTCGATTCCCGGCTGGTGCATTTGAGAGCCATGAGGAGATATTTGCGCTCCATGTGAAGACTGGGTTCCTCACGAACTTCCGATTCCGGAAGAAAACTGCGCATCTGAGCTCTCTTATTTTTTTTTTATTTTTTATTTTTTTTTTGGGGTCAACCCAAATGAGTTCTACCAAGAGAGGTTGGTTTAAGGACACTGCCGTTGATTTCACCGCGATGTTCACGCTCGCGAACCTGCCGCATTGTTTGAATGTAATGTTAGGAAGAAGTCACCTCTGTACCTTGTTCCTGCTGTGTAGTTGAGAATACCAGAAATGAAATAAAAGTCCTTATCTTTCTGTATTGGCTTTGGTCAGATTAACGAAGATCACTTTGGTTAGACTTGAGTCTCTACTTTCTTCTATGTTTTGCCACTCGATGATATGAAAATTGAAGAGATGGACTAACCAAGCAAGTAGTACCAAATTTGCCAATTTGGTTCAGCGACTTCCAAAGTAACTCAAAACATTTGAGAATAATCAGTTCCCAAGTCTATCAATTGTTGGGAGATTAAGATTCATTTTCCTCTGGGGAGAGAGAGAGAAGAAAAAGAAAACATATTGCACTCTTTTAACTGTGATGAGGTATTACAACAGTATCGCCTATGAGAAAAGTAAGAAACATTTACAATTCAAAAAAGAAAACTATTACAACATATTTGGGATCAAATTATGCTCCATCATCCTTGTTCTCGAGCTCCAGGAGTACAGAAGCAAGGCACTCTTCATCTGGTGGGTGGTCCTCGCTCTTGTTGGCAGTTGGTGAGGGCAAAGAGGCGCCCAAGAACCCTGCGAACCCATTCTGCCTCAAGTACATCTGCAATGGAAAGCTTGCCTCGTGAACAAGGCTCGTTATGTTCGCTCCTGTTGCCTCCGTTGACTGGTCTTCTTCGCGGTTGGGATGATAATTCAAGTCTAGTTGTCCCTTGCTGCTCTCGCCCAACTCGATGTGGATTCTACTTTGGCTTCTTTCATTATCTGAATGATCCATCTGTTGCAGTGCATGTCCAGATGTGTCCTCCATTTCTGGTTCATCATTGAGGTGGACCTGCTGGACCCTCCCCTGGGCAACCTCTGCCTCACGTTCTGATTGGCGTTTCTTCTTTCGCATCATGAGGGTTTTAAAGCGACGCTTCACAGTCATGCACACGTTGCAGATACAGGTAGGCTTGTGCTTGCCCTTTCCGCTTGGGGGCTGAATGCACACGATGCAAGAGCAGCCAGGGCGATGCCGAGGATGCCTCGTGGTCACTCCAACTGAAGGTTCGCCTGAGTCGCTCGCATTGTCCCCTAGAACTGCAGCAGTGGCTAATGCGTCTAAGCCAGAAGGCTCACATTCTTGGGCTACCTTGTGGCTTTCTTTAAGTCTTCGCTTCTTAACATCTGTAGAAGAAATAGAGAGTAAGCTATCACCAAGTATATTGAGTTTGATCAGGGAAAAACTCATTCTACCAAAATGGCAAACTTCACAGAAAAAATTAGCACCAAAATGCTTCATGGAAGATTGGGGGACTAAAACGAAAACCGGACAACAACAGATTACATGTTACAAAAGGGATTAACAACTTGTAATGATGGAACAATTTAAGTTTGTGGTGCAACACATTGAAAACTAGGGTTTCACAGATCTGTGACAATTTACCAAATGACAAACTTCACAAAACAATTAGCACCAGAAAGTTTGGACATGTGCACAAAAGACCTTTAATTGCACTAGTTAGGAAGAGTGATATGGTCCATGTGAAGACCAAAGTTAACGTGAGTAAAGTTAGGAAAGGTATGATAACATGTGATTTGACTGGCTATGGCCTTGAGATAAAATGGAATGGAAAAATAGGATTCTTGTAGCCAACTCCAAGTAGTTGGGAAAAAAGCTTCTTTTTTTGGGTAAATAAATAAATAAAGAGCTTTGTTTGTTTGTGTTGTTGTATAAAATAAAGAAATAAACAACAGGTTACATGTGTAACAAGAAGGAAATAAAATAAAATAAACAACAGGTTACATTTGTAATTTGTAACAAGAGGGATGAGCAACTTGTACTGATGGAACAATTTAATTTGTATGGTGCAAAACATTGCAAAATGGGGTTACAGATCTATGATAATTTCAATGTCAATTCATATGACAGGATTGGGAAATAAGTCATGCATAGGTTACACCAACTATCAAACACTATTATACCAGGAAAAAAACAAAAACTACTATCAAACACTTAATCAACAGGAATTTTCAATTAAAAGAAGAATGAAACTTTAGTAGAATTCCATAAAGTACTTTCCAAACTATTTTAGAAAATATATGGAGTCTCTACATAGAACACACTGTTATATACATAATTCCTTTCCCCAAATATATAGAAGAATATTGGACTACTTCGACAATTTAACATTGTCCCCACACCCAAGTGCATTTTGGATAGTACATGTGTAAAAATCTACAATGCGAACAGCATGTATTTGATCTCCATTAGTGGATACACTCGGACATTTTCACACACACACAAGAAACTGAAGCATTTAGATATACTTCATATTTTAAAATTCTCAATCCATTTAATGGGCTTCACAAACTGTTGTTAGAAAAAGGAGAACACAGAGTGGCTTACTCGTACCCTTGCCAACTCTGGAAAAACTTTCAAGTTCCTTTGGATTCATCTCATCAGGAGCAGAACATGAACATCTGCAAGCACATCGTGAACGAAAGAAGTATGAAGAAATCTTCTTTTTATGTCACATACTAACATACAAACATCAGAAGATTACAAATTTACAGCACTCATGTAAGCATAACTAAAATCTTGTCTACCTCGGCTCACTCAAACTCCCAACTGCATAAAAAGATTAGTTACGTACAAAACCCACCCCAACCAAATGATGGCGATATTTACTCCCCACGCATGCTACTTTCCTAGCAATACTATCTGGCACCTTGTGCAGCCCATTGATATGAGAACATAAAGTGTCGTCTCACAAGTTTTTTTGCTAGAAGAAAATAAGGAAAACGATAAAAATTGTTACAGACCTGCCTGAATCCCAAATATTGTCTGAACACATCCACTTTGGAGGGAGAAGAACATCCACGGGCAACTTCCGCCACTTGGAGCAACTATCACACTGAGCCCATTGTTCCTGTTCCCTACACAATAATTAATCCTCTATATATTTAGCCTTAAATGGTACATTCCAACTAAAAATAATACTAAAATTGTTTTTCCTTTTTGGTGTGGGAGGGGAAAAAATGAGGAAATTTCTCAATTCTGCATTTACTAAAGTGAAGCTGAACTATGAGAGTGGCACATCTTGTATTTAAATAAATGCATCACAAGAGGTAAGGGAGGCCAATTTGGGGCAATTCATTCTTCATGTACCTCAAATCCAGGGAAGAAAATGATGAGAATAGCATGAGTCCACTAAGAGACTGGACCTCAACAACGGCCCACAAAAGAGAGAGAGAGAGAGATAAAAGAGCATAAGTCTAGAGCCAAAAGGACTTTGTATCATTGATTATGTTCTTAATGAGGGCATGCCCCCCAAGGCTTTGACCATCTTTGATGATGGAAGAAAAAAGGAATGAGAGAGAGAGAGAGAGAGGGGAGGAGGGGGAGTCTAGATCCACAAGTTCATTTTCCACAAAAGCATTCCCTGAGGCTTAACTATCTTATGAAGGAAGTGGTTCTGCCGCATTCACATTGTGCCTCTGCCATTTTAAAATCTGGTAATAGTTCCCTTAGTAGAGGACTTAGAGCCAATGTTCCAGTCCATAAAATTAGAACTAAAAGCAGAACAATCATGTATAAACAACATTAAAGCCAAAATATTACAAAGTTTTATGGCACTTATAACAAAATAAATCATAACGATCCTTACCCAGATGGTTGAGCTCTGAATATAGTCCTCTTCCCAAAAACTGGTGGGTCCTATATAACATCAACAGCATTAATCACATAAATTTCCTGGAAAACATATGGGGATTGAAATTTAAGACTCGTTTAAAGTAGCATTCCCTTATAGATGACTTTGTATTAAAATACAAACAAGAAGGGCTGACCAAGATATATTTAAAACAAAATAGTGTTCATTTAAATGGAAATAATTACATCATATTCTTCAAATTCATGGTCTCCAACCATGAAAACAGTTGGCTCACATGGGGGTGAGCGAAGCAACTCTTGTGCTTCTCCCCATGTGACTCTCAGCTCCACAGCATCTTCACTATGCATCAGAAGCCTCTTGCTCTTTGACCCAATGTTTCGAGTCCTCTTCTTCTCCGGAATCAGCATTGGCTGCTGGACTGAGTTCTCATTTTTCCTGCCCGCGTGCTTTTCATTTTAATGCCAACCAAAAATATCCCAATCAGCAAAAGCTAAACATTCGGACAGAGCAACAAGGTGAAGATCCTTGCTGCCATTCAGTGATCAGCCAGACTACTTACTGTAGGCAGGTTTTCATTAACATTAAAGATAGAAGTTTCTCCAGAGAGAGCACCATTAGGAGGAACATATGTTTGGTCTTCCTGTTTGTTTACATACAAATTGTATTTCAGTTGATTAACACCAAAAGAGAAAAGTACCCTTTTCTTCTGCTATTTCCCAATAATTAAGAATGTCAAGAATGGCGATAATGGAGAAGAATAATGCCTACGAAAACTTGACCTGCACATCAACAGAGTTTGATGCCTTCCGAAAGCCCATGACAAGTTCACCACCAGGATCTATCCGACTAAAAGTCACTGCAAAAGAAATTATTAATTAATAAAAATTTATACACAATAAAAATCAAAATACTTAATTTAAATAAATTCCATTAATACAGTATACAAAACTATGATGAGAAAATTAACAAATTATCTGACAAAAATGTTTGTCCTACTATGCAACAACTGCCTTTTAAACAAAGATTCTAGATATGCATGCTAAGAATGATGAACATGAAGGACTTCCTATGAGGTCAAAGGATGACACTGACCACATATATATATATATATATATATATATATACTGAGAACATGGAGGATGACTAGTTTTCATTTAAAAATATCATGCCCAAAATAAGTAATGAACACTCGAGCAATGATAGTGAAAACACGAACATGTTGAGGAGAATTCTTTGAATATCAGTACAAACAAGCAGTGTCGTACGCCTATTATCAGTCACTGAAAATTCCAAGAGGATCAATGACCATGAAAAGCAATTAGTCTATTAAACAGGAGTAAGTACAACTAGGTGCATAAGACCAAAACAATTTATGAAACAAGAGAAATAACACTCCACAGAAATACCATGCTCCTATACTGAGATCCTTAATTATATGTGCAGGCTTTAAGAATAAAAATTCAGTTATGAGATTTTCAAATGTTAATTGATATATAACCAGAAAATAATGCTATATCTAATACGTGTTGAATAGATACATATTATAGTCGCTCTATGATCAGAAATGGCATGCAGAATACCAGTATCACCAGCTTGTAATTGCATATTCTGTATGCAAGGGGTTACACCCTCTAACACATACATCCGACTGTTATTGTTGGGCCAAAATCTGAACTGAAATGTCCACTCTTTCCCCTTTATATCCTGAATCCTTAGTGGAAGACCTTCTGATTGGGAAATAGGAGGAAAATATGCCTGCATCAATTTCCAATTCATAAAGACTCACATAAAGTAAAAAACAAAATTTAAAATTCAAATTCTAAATTAACAATAAAAAATAGGAATAGAAAAACATATAAAAGATAACAAGGGAAAAATCTATAGAAGAAAGTAAAAACTTACTTCAGCACATGCTTTGGGGAGGACTAAACGACCAATTCGACCTGCATCACTGGCACTTAAAACTTTCTCGAACAACGGTACAATATTGGAATTCAAGCTTGAAGATAACAAGTTAAGTGTAAACATTATGGATAAACAAAGACATGCACATTACACAACAGCATTATACCTAAAATGAGGGACAGGAGATCTGATTATGACAAGAACTAAACCGAAGGTGAAAAGAATGACATAAGCATGGATACTCTCCAGATAATTGCTGCAGTTCTTGGTCAGTAATCCTTGGCCAATACCGTGGAAGTAATTGATTGCGGCCTCGCCCTTCAGCTGGAGGCCTCGCAACTCGAGTCTGAGAAACGAACCCCTTATTTGCCTCTGGACCTAGAGTGAGGCCACTTTTGGGAGGCTTAGGCAAAATATGGCGTGTCCTTGGCCCTTGTTGAAAAGGAGGAACTTTGCCTTGTTCCCTTCCTTCCACAATCCCACCAGGAAAAGGCAGTGCAGAATTCGGTGTACTCAAAGGAGTGCTCAAAGAGAACTTCAAGGATGGCTGAGCTACTGATTCATACATATCTTTAACACCCTGTCTTTTCATACAGGTGTCTGGACTGGAAAACATAGACGATCCAACAGGCTGCTGCATCAGATCTGAAAAGCCTGTAATGGCTTCCCCAATAGGACACATGATGTCTTCTCGATTCAATTGCCCCATAGATGAACTAGTCTCACCCTTCTGAGTTTGAAGGAAGTGGCTGAGATTCTTTTCCTCCTTACTCTTGCTCGACTGCACAACCTTCCCGTTATCAACACTGATGCCATCCATTCTTTTTTCATGAACAGAGGATTGCTGGTCACCGAGATTATTTGTTGTCAATGTGCCAAATCCATTAGGAATATCATCATTTGAAATCTGCACGAACACGATATAGAAGGATCTAAGATACTCCTATGTCTGCTGAATAGAGTAATTAAATTGCCTAGTTGTATGCTTGATAACACTGCCTTTAGTACACCATACATATGCAGGAAACCAATCAAATAACGTTGTCAGTGGTATCACCGAGCCTCCAGCTCAAGTGGTACTCCTTCCAAATGGAAGATTGAGGGTTCAAGTCTCCTTAGGGGCAATAGCTGTTTCGTTTGAGTAACTTACCTACCAAATCAAATAACATTATTGACAACATCCCGCATCATTTAAAATTATTAGTCGGATGACTCTTGACAAATTATTGGAATTATAGCATTGTTATAGACAGATAATTCAAAACTCATAATTTAAACCACCCATCTATTCCCATGGATGCAACTGAACCACAATAACAAAACAAATATGTATGTATGTGTGTGTGTGTGTGTGTGTGTGCGTGTGTGTGTAATTGTTAAGTGCTATATTAAGATTCTTAATGTTAGTAGCACGACAACACTATTGATCAAGGTTTGGCATTTTGTGATTAAATTATAGGATGTAATCAAATGTTCCTCCCACATATGTATCGCTTCCAACTTAACAACATGGCTGATGCTAACAGAACTGACAAAAAATCAACTGATGCATGAAAAGGTTAGTAGTATGACAACACTATTGATCAAGGTTTGCCATTTTGTGATTAAATTATAGGATGTAATCAAACGTTCCTCCCACATATGTATCACTTCCAAATTAACATGGCTTATGCTTACAGAATTGACAAAACATCAACCATTGCTCGAAATACATAATAAGCATGTGTGATTGGGATACTTTGGATTTTAGATAACCAATTACCTGAATTGGTCTCATTGAGCGAGTTTGTAAACCCTTTGCGCAGCTTATACACACTATACCCCCAAAATCCAGGAAGTCATGCAAAGATTTTGAAGCGATGCATCCACAGTGGATATGCTGCCATACCAAATTCAACTAGACTTAGAAAGCGAAATAGAGTTCAAAAAAGAATTGGGACAGTCAGATTGTTAGATTACCTTTCTACAATATCTGCATTCCCTCCAACCAGATTCCTCTACGTGGAATGTCTCACAGTAAACTGAATTCTCATAGGCAGATCTAGAGTCCACATGACGCCACATCAAGTAAGAGCCATACAGAAAATATAATCAATACAAAAATTTGAAATCAGTATAAAGATAAAGTAATCAATAAAATTAACAGAAAGATAATTTTGAAAAAATAATGCAAATTAATTTTGAAAAAATAATGCAAATTGCTTTCTGAAGTGTGGAAAAAAATAATAATAAGTCTACTGCTTCGAGTTCAATTAAATCAAGAAGTACAAAAACTTTGAAGAAAGTGCTATGTCCATGTCGAACTCGTGTCTGACATAGATACGTGTCTGGCACCCTATGGATGTGTCTATAATTCAAAAACAAATTTCATCATTTTGGACATTTAGCCTACACATACCAAACACTCCTAACAAAGGTTCATATAGCACAAGACACATCCTAAAATAATTTATATCCGACAAGCTTTGAAACAAGATGTATAGAATAACACTAAAACAATAATGACAAAAATATAATAAGAGAGCTATGTTACCTAGACTCGGGTACGGGTGTCCGGTGTGGGTATGTATCCAACCGTTAGACATATCGAAATCCAAAATATAAGGACATAGGAACACTGAAAAATATTCATATTATTTAATAGGTGTCACTCTTTAGTCTTTCTCTAACATGATGATTTTCAATTTTGTCTCCTTTAATTACCTATTATCCATCTCAACTTTCTCATCGACAACAGAAATGTGTTATTTTTGTTTCTTTTTCAATGCTCAACATTCTGCTCATATAATATCCATCCTATAGATTTTTCATGTTCTAAACCCATTTAATATTTTCTTATTACATACCATACTGCTACTTTGCAATAAATTTGCCCTTCCAATCCTACTTATTACATTGTCATCTAACTCCATGATATTTTATATTATTGATCCTAACTACCAAACATAGTTATTCTGATAATCTTTTGACCGTGAAATGTCACCCTTACATTTGTTGGTACTTGTATTATTGTTGAATTTACATTCTTTATATTCTTTTTTAATTCTGCCAATTTTTAAACTCCGACTCTAATGTGCTTGTTCTATTTATATTTTTACTGCTAGAGTTTCTTTAGAAGTGTCTAATAAAACTATGTCATCAACAAACAACATGTATTAGGAACCATCTCATAATTTGTCTTATATAATAGATGTTCAAAAATAAAATTTTGTATATATATATATATATTATTTGTCATTCCATCCATACCCACATCAACTTTTTTAAAAATTTGACACGTCTGAGTATCCATGCAATGGGATCTGTTTCTGTGCTACTTAGAAATTAAACACTCGATTGAATCACAAGAAAAATAACGATTATTGCAATTCCTGATGCAATTTAATTAACTATAATTGAGCTAATCACTCAGACTTTTACTTCATCAGCCAACAATGTAATCTCTAAAAAAAATGGATAATAGGAGGTTTGATTGAAACTTGATATATAACTCATTAGGTTGCCGTAACTCGTCATATTACTCATGACCTCCCATCCTCCACCCCTACCCCTGAACAAACCAACTATGGATAGAATCAAATGGAACAAAATAAAATACATCATCTACCATTGGCCTATAAAATCAATAGACATATAGTGAGCCACTTTTCCACCAAGATTGTTAACCAATCTCAATACACAGCAGATAACAATGACACCAATGATATAAATTTGTCGCTATTGCTTATTCAATACTTATATATATATATATATATATAGATTGATCACCATTAGGAGAGCTAATAGTAATGAAGAAAAGAAAAAGAAAAAAAATCATTTCGAATGTGTCTTGGGACTAATTATTCAAATTGATACGTTGTTTGTTTCTGTAAAAATGGCGAGAAAATAAAAATAAGATTTATCATCATTAGCAGTATTTATTTTTAAAAAAAAAATTATTATAGACTAGTTGATATTGGACGTTATTTAGCAATGATCATACAGATGTTTTAAGATTTATAGAAACCCACGTTGAAAACAAAAAATAAAAATAAAAAAATAAAAATTTAAAAAATAAAAATTAAAAACAGTAAAAATAAAAATAAAATGAAAAATATTGAATTTCTAATTTTGAACAAGATAAAATGTGGGAAAAAATATATATATATATCCCAGATATAGGAAAATTTCAAATGTCAACCACACAAATAAGCCCCAAGAAAAAACAGCATTAAATCCAAAAAAAAAAAAAAAAATAAGAAAAAAAAAAAGCATGCATGAGCTATATTCAAGATCCAAAATCCATAACCCAAAAGTACCCTCGCAACACCAAATCAACCCAGATACAGCTCATACATAAAAATTCAGGATAAGACAGGGCTAAGATTGGAAACGGCTAATTACCCGCAGTTGTAACAGAGAGTTGCAAATCCACCTGATTTAAAGCCCCAACCTTTCTTCCATTGGAGAGTCGTCTTCGCCTTGCACAATTCGTTCATGCAAATCTTGTCGGCCATTGACCCAAATCAAACCTAAACCCGATCTTCATGCAAACGAAAAACCCAAATCAAAACCCTAACAAATCAATTTTTACGATCCGATCAAAAAAGCAGAGCATAAACAACAACAAAGATCTGACAAAAAAATGAAAATTAAAAAAAGATTAGCTGATTAACCTGGTTCAAATCTAAGAAATGAAATTGTGAATGCGACATTCAGATGTATACAAACATTACAAAGAGTCCATTTTGGTGGGTGACTTGGAATGTCAGAGTGAATCTCTGACGGACAGAAGTGGGGTCAACTCGAGACGGTGGAGGTCGGTGACGGTGAGTTTTTCCCACGGCGGTGCAGGTGTATATATTGAGGAATGAAAGAGCGAAGATAATATATGTGTGTGTACTATATATAGAGAGAGAGAGCGTAAGTGCATGGAAAGTAAACAGATGCACAAAATGCATGCACGACACTTGAAGACACCGCGAGAGGTCGTCTCTCAACTTACTCTTCTTTTTCTTTACCTCCTGTTCGGTTCGGACACTGATACTACTACTAATACCCTGTGGGTTTCGTGGATTTCTATCACCCCTTATGTCAATTTTTTTTCAAATCAAAGTCAAAAATTAGAATTTTTTTTTTTTTTTTTTTTAAAAGGAGACACATCACTATCTATTCTTGTATAATTAAAATGACAAATATAACCTTAAAATTTTCATCCAACATTAAAAATATGGTGTTTTTTAAAATTAAATTAGAAGTCTTTTGAGCTTTTTATTTTATTTTATGTTTCTTTCTTTCCTCATCTTCATTGTCAAATTGTAGGGAGGTGGTAGCCTCGCTTGACCATCAAACGAATGCACGAGAGACTCGTGTGAAAGTCTTCTTTCTCATATTCTTAGAAAGATGGTTAGAGACGAGAATTCGTGGGACTCACCCAACATTTTTCAGTTATATGACTACTACTAAGTAGTTTTTGAATATCAAATGAACCTCCCAGAAGGTCATTTTAATGTGTCCGATTTTTTCTCTTTTGTAATAAATTTCGCTACTCTTGTTAATTGCGTGTTCACCTTTTTTAAGTATGACTCTTATATTATGTATGGCCGTGTCTAAGGGCATATCGGTTGAAGCCGATGGATATTTGACGGGTTTGCTTCACCCATCATTTGTAGGGAGAGAAAAATAATCCAGGTGAAGATAGAGTCTGAAGTGGATAGAAATGAATAGAAAAGGGGAAAGAGAACAAAGGGAGATAAATGATAAACGATAAATGATAATTATGGTAGTGGAGAGATTGTTGTAATATTGATACACACGCGCGGAGTATACGGTAATGCATGGTATCTTTTTTTGAGATTAGTTTTTATCTTTTTTTTATTCACAATTTTGGAAACATTTATCAATCTAAGGATAAACTCATTCAATATGTACATTCAGGACCTCATTTTGTCTCTTTTATCCAATCAAATGTCATTTGTTGTGTTGCAAGTTTTTTATTATTATTCGTCATAGTCGTGGTTGTCCTTTCCTTTTAAGTCACATAAAACCTGAATACGAAAATAATAAAATTTAAATTACATATAATAAAAATGGGAGTGAATGTATATGCATAAAAACGATATTAATTGAGAAGGATAGTGTAACTTAAAATAATATTAGATTTGTCATTTTAATTAACACTTTTTGTCGATAAAAAAAATATATATATAGCATTTGATTGAGGAATGCGGTGTGAAATTTTTTAAACTAATAAAATATTATTATATAATAACATTTTAATTTAAAATTGATAAAAAAAATAATTTAGTAGATGAATATATTTTTATTAAATCTCATTTTGACTACGGAAATAACTAGAGGTGGAGAATAAATTTTACATACCAAAATTTGACCAAAAAAATCATGGAAATGATGATAAAAATGCAGAAACCCATAGATAATTTCAAAAGTTTCAATCAAATAAGCTAAGTGTGGCGATTTTGTCAGAGTGATAAAGGGTTAAGGCTTTAGATGTCTCCATGTTCTAATTAAGGTTCGAATTCCCTTCTTTTATCTTCACTAATTGTTAACTCTAAAAGTAAAAATAATAATAATAATAAATATTAGGACAAGATAAGATAGAGTCACAATTTCCACGCCATGATAAAATCATGAGATCGATCTATAAAGTGTACATGGTCCATATAATTTGTAATTTGGAAAGTTTCAATTAAATCCGAAGAAGATAAAAGGTAGTGATGGTCCATATAATTTGTAATTTGGAAAGTTTCAATTAAATCCGAAGAAGATAAAAGGTAGTGAGAGTTATTTGTCTCGTGGAAGCAAATATATAATATAGTATAATAAATCAAAATTATATATTAATCAAATTATTATTATACATGGAAGCAACGTAAAGAATATCCTTGCGGCAACTATGCTGCCCTTTAAAAAAATAAAAAAAAATTGCGGAGACAAGTTAAAATGATATGGGTGACCGACACAAGTATAAAAAGGGAAGTTCCAATTGAATATTTATTTTTTAAAAAAATAAGTATTCCAATTTTTTTTTATTTTTTTTATTTTTTTTATTTTTTTTATTTTTCCGAAAGTTCAAGTAAATATACATTCCCTATAAATATTATATTGGCAGGGATTGCCAAAATAATTACTTGGTAACTCCTATAGTGAAGGTGAAAGTTAAGAGCCATATATATATATATATATATATATATATATATATATATATATATATATAATCCTCTGTCTCACCCTCCTTTGTACCTTGTATTATGTATGTTGTAATAATCAAGTGATTACTTCTTATAAAGCCCAATATATAATCCTAAATACAATTCATGAGAATAAAAAATAATCAAGTTTATGTGTGGTGAAGCACATATATATGTATCATTGACAGGAGAACATTGTGAGTTCATATATATATATATATATATATAGATAGATAGGTATGATTGATTGTAATTAAAACATACAGTAGCAGATAAAAGATGTGATGTCAAAATGATGCTTTCATTAGAGTTGGTTAGTATGGGGGAGGACTGCGCTTTTGTTGTGTTGTGTAGTTCAGCATCTCATTCAATATATATATATAATTGTAGAATTATATGAAAATGAAATTGATAACTTTGAATCCAATATATACACCTCATTCCAACTGTTTTACATGCACGTAACTATTTAACATTTAGCTACCATTAAAAAAAATAATAATAAAAAAAAAAAAAAAAAAAAATGAAAGAGTATTCAAATTAAAAATTTTAATATAATATGTGATCGAGAAACAAAGCACTAGTGTATGATGCATCCACGATCCATGTGTATATATATATGTGTGTGTGTGTGTGGAACCTAATTGCAGTGGGTTTTAGTAGAGAAAAAGACAATTTTAGAATAGCCTGGCAACATGTGCCATTATTGCATGCATGCCATGGCACTTCTTTATCTAAATTAAACTCAATTAGGGCTTGTATTTGAAAACACAAAATAAATAAATAAAACCAGATTTTTCGGTAGATTTTACCCGCCACATGGTTTTAAGAAGTCTAAGGATACCCAAAAAAATTAATTTCCATATGGTTGTAATACCATTGGGGCAACTGTCCCGAATCAATTTTTTTTATTTTTTTTTCAATTAATTGTTTAACATTTTGTATACATATTTGGAATCTATTAGGTACGCTTCTCATCGGACACTTTTATATATATATATATATATATGGGTGTATAGTGTAGGCTAGGGGGACTAGGCCCAAAGCTAATTAAAACTTAACAATACACTGGGCAATTAAGAAGGCCCAAGAAACAAACAAATAAAATGGCAACAACGGGCCTAGGAGCAATGGGGCCCAACTCATTTGTAACAAAGGACAGTTGAACTCAACTATCTTAAAAATATTGTTTAGATTCCTTTTTCCTAAATTCATCTCTTCTATCAAATCCTATGGTTTTAATTTCATACTCACCCTTCGTTCTCACAAATAAGCACCAAATGCATGCATTTGAATTTTCTTATTTTTCAACATAATTGAAGTATTACTTCACTAATCTAAATGGAATTTTCTCATTCAAAAGAGTGAATTTGAAAACTCTTGAGTTCCTTTTTTTTTTTTTTTTTTTCCCTATTAAAAAAAATGAAATTAAAGGATAAGAAGGATAAATTTATGGCCGAAGGATTAATCTTTAAATTAGTTAAGTTGACTTGCGTCTAACATGTGTAGACTAGGGTTCAATTTGAGCGGACCAACTCAAATACAACTTGATCCTTTATGGACTAGGAGAACTTCTTTTACAACTAGGATTAGGCCTGGTAAAAAATCTTAACCTAATTTAATTAATCAATCGAGATGCGTTGAGAAATTAATTTGTATTCTAATATCTCTCCCTCCCATACGGGAGGGAAAGTTATAAATATTTATAAATGAATGATACACAACTTTGAATCCACAAAAGTAAAGGAGACTTGTAAAGAAATATTTTTTCTTTCTTAATTGATTATTCAGACACACACATGCCTCCACCGAAACTTAAACCCCTGACCTCCCTTTGTGAGGTAAGGACCTGATACAGCTAGGTTACTACCATTGATCTTGTAAATAAATCTTATATATTATTGATAATCGAATTGGTGATTTTGCTCTCTACTATACATGTATTTATAAGGAAAAGAAAACCTTAAATCATAAGGAAAGTAACAGCATTAGAAACCTTATAATATAATAAAATCTAATATTAAAAGAAAACTAAAACTAAAAATAAGCCTAAAAATTAACTTTCTCTAAAAATTATGAAAAAATAGCATAAGAAACCTCATCACAAAAACTACTAAATATAAAAATTCAGAACATTCCTCGTTCGTTTAGACTGTGAATAAAAATTGCCTTTTATAAGATAGAAAAATAGGGTTTTGAGGCCCTAAATGATAGAATTTGGTGAAGCCCGTTTAGTCCATATTGCTCGTTGGCCCGTTTCTAATTAGAAAATTGTTCTTTCAGGTAAAAAATAAACTCTTTGGCAACTGCCATGGAAAACATGTCAGCATGCTCGTTTAGCTCTCTGGTGGTCCAAACGAGTCATATAGGCTTCAACAATCAGTTCTATATCAAACTAAGCCATTAATCCTTTCTTTAAGCTCACAATCCAAACACATCACAAGGTTAGAGATATATGCTACTTGTTTTTATAAGTATGGAACATCAAACAACAAGCATGGATTGTCCTCCCATTTAACATCTAAACTACAACTACACTACAATTAAGCTAATGACATGAAATTAAACTAATTAAGCTAAGGGAGATGCACAATCCATCAAGAAATGAGTATGAACCATCAAATAAACCACAAGAGCATTCCATTAAGCACTATGTCTTGACAATTTCTAGATCTATAGCATCAATACACAAAGACATTCATCAATAACACAAGAAATAGAGATAAACACATGAACATCTATTCTAGCATACATAGACATATGGATAGAATGAAATGATCAATTGGAAGCATTAAACCACACAAATCATTGAATAAACAAGATCTATATATATAAAAGTGTCAAAATATGTATCACAATACAAATCCCCTAAAAAATACATAAATCAAGATGTAGAAAACATACTTAG